TTAATAAATCGTTAAGAAGGAAAGAAGGTACGGTTCTTCTATTTATAAAACGCTTCAAAGAATATGGAGTGCAACGTGTAAATGAAGCCACGCGGCAAAAATTGGAGGGGAAAAGCGAATTCTCTTCCAAAAAGAAAAAAAGAAAAATTCTTCCCCTGTTACAATTAAAACTAAATCGAAACTGATCGACGCGTTGACTTCCTCCCCAAACTTTTGAATCTAATTCCTGCGCGACTAATTTGCAATTTCCTTGGACGGATAGCAAGGATGGAAAACTCGTTACCCGACTCCTTAACAGCGACTCGTCGATTGGAAAATCGAAATAAACCGAGGTGAAAACGAGAATCGAGTTCAAAAAACTCGACAGATCTCTCTCTCTCTCTTTCTCTCTCCTCCTCTTTGTCATCCCTTTCGAACCAAGCATCACCTCCCCGCTTTCACGTTTAATTTCGTATTCGAGGGTTCATTCGAATCCGCGTCGAAGTTCGAGTATTTCCCAGGCCAGTTTCTCTTTTCCTCCCTTTCCTCTTCCCCATCTTCCGTCTCCGTCCATCATTTGGAACCGTGACTGAATTGTCGTCGCGTTGACGAAACGATGTTTCTCTCAAGGATATGGAGAACGCGTTCGATTACTCTTCTTAAGCGAGTGTTTTTATTTATTTTAGTAGAAATATATATTTATGGAATCTGGTTTCATTGTTTACTACGCGTTTTTATCATGAGAATTGGGAAGATGATATAATTATAAATAGATTTAGATACAGAATCGACGAGACAGTTTTCGAAACAAAAAGTTGGTTCGATGAAGGAGACGTTTGTATCGAAGATACAATGGTGTTTCCTCTCCAGCTGCTCGCAATCGGGGTTGATATCATCACCTTTGATTTCATGAACAAACCGACTGAGGAGGCTGTCCACGTCGCGGTCACCTGCCTCGAAAAGTTGAACGCCGTCAAAGGTGAGCGCGACACCGTTTTAAATTTCCACTATGGAATTCCCAATTTTAGAATAGAACGACGAGCATTTTTATATTTCGTTCTCGAGGCATGGCGAATGAATTTAGAATATTATTCTTGCACGAGTTTAAGCCGGGCAGGCGAACCATATCGAAATATTAGGTTGGAGAAGATTCCATCTAGGTGGTGGTTTCAAAAATTCAGATCTGGAAACGAGAAGTGGATCGAAATCTGTATTAAACAAAGGTAAATGGAAAGGCGAAGTGGAAGCAGAGTTCGACGTATCTCCAATGACAGTTTTCAGACATTTGGGTAAAGGCGATGGGTAAAGTGAATAAATTGAGAAAGAAAAGCTCTATTCATTTTTGACGAGAAACGAATACCGTACGATAATCGTGCGCGAAATTTTGAACAACGATTGGCTAATGAAAATTCTAGGGAATAATTCATTGTTCTTCTCTGAAACCGTAGTAGCATCCTACTGCCAAGAGATCGATTAACAAAGAATCGTCGACAGACATGGTTCTTCTGCATAACAACGCTCTACAAAAATTAACTGACTCGATTATCGCTTGTTTCCGATCGTTTTTAAAAAATAAAATATTCGAGAAGCTGTAATCGGCATTCGAGGAATTTCTTCGTGCTGAAACGAAGTTTTATAAAAATATGAATGTATCATTAAAGGCTCGAACAAAGATAGATAATTTCGAAAATACATTGTTTTTCTCCCAACCAATAAAAATTTTATATAATATCTCTACTTTCTAAAGATCCACGAGTACAAGTCCCCTCGAAGAAATTTCTTATCGACAAAAAAAATTATTTGTATCTCATTGTACGCAAATTTTTGTTAAAAAATCTGCGAAATTTTGATTCAAATCGTCTCGAGTAACATAGATCGAAAAATCTTAATCGCGACGAAACATCGATCGCGAACAATTTCGTTCGCTCGTTTTGTTTCGTTTCATCCAAGACGACGAGGACGATCCCCGCAATTTCGATCAAAAGTTTGAAAAGAGTGGATCCTGGCGTACGCGCGAATAGACGATAACAAGCTCCGCTGGATCTCCCTTTGAATGTTATTCAAGAGGAAAATTGCTCGGTGAAATATTCACGCGATGATTAACCGACGGTTAAAGCCGTCCAGCTTCGAGGGCCCAGACGTCTGCCCTCGTAGGATGACTAGGTTCGCTTCGGGCCTCAAATTGGGAAATTGCACCGGTTGCACATCCGCTGCTACGCTACGCTCTCCTCCTCATGCGTGCATTTTTAATGAAAAATTTCCCGTTTCAGAGGGGACGAAGAAAAAGGATCTTAATTTTTTTTTTTTTTCATATTTCGTACACGGAACGTGTCTAAATACGTCTCTGTAAATAAAGTTTATTTCGTTATTACGATATATAAATTTCATCGGGATTGTAATTTTGCTCGAGCGATGAATTTGAATTTGTTAAAATATCAAATGTGTTATTTTTTTTTTTTTTTTTTTTTTTTTAAAGAAAAAAGCCTACTTATGCGGAAACGCGAAACGAAATTGCACGTGCGTGAAATGGCGAATTAAAAGCGACGAGGGGGCGAAAAAGGATAGTGATAAATTTCTTCCTCTAGTTCTGGAACTAGATGTATATGTTACGGGAAATACGGCGAAAAAATAAGAAAAGGGGAGGGAAAAGGGGGGAAGAAAAACAGCGAGGAGCGCAGGAAGACGTAAAAGCGAAAAAAGAAGAAAGGCACAAAGACAGAAAAATGCAATCAGGAAAGCCGGTGAAATAAAAAAGAAGCGATAAAAAGAAAAAGTCAGATGAGGATACGTACGAATGAAGGGATTTTAAAACGTTGGCCGTAAAAAGATCTTTGGAAAAATAAAGAAGGGAAAAAAGGTAATACAATTTTTTTAAAAAATTGCCTGCCTGCTTTCTAAAATTATATATTGCATCGTTTCGTTTACTTTTGTGAATGTTCAATTGTCATTGGGAGGAGGGCCGACGAAAGAAAAGGGAGTCGAAAAAAAAAAGAAAGAAAAAATAAACTATCTAAATTCCGGGGCACTCGTCGAGACGAGCAAAAAAAGGCAGCATCCTCTTGTTTTTCAAGAGGAGGAAACTTTTGTATCGGTCCGCTTGAAACCGCTTGAAACGTGTTGACCGTGGATAACTAGAACTTTAATTTCCAAAGGAAGAATCTTCGTTCTCCCTTGAGCGAAACGGACGAACTTGAAGAGATATAAAAGAAAAGACCAATCGACAATTTTGGATGTAGCGTTTGCGAAAATTTAACGCGCAACGATAACTTTATTCGATCGAGCGGTTCGATTTTTATTACGAGAAGAAAATATATATAGACGCGTCGCCTTGTTTTCGTGTTATTCTTTTGAACAAAATTCTCAAAGTTTCTAGCCTTCTTGATATTGGATAATCGAGGACATAAACTTCTGAATGGTCACTTTACGAAATTGCAATTGCACACTGCCTCGAATCCGAAGGAAATTTCCAAAGATTTTTCCAAAGAAAAAAAAAAATCCAAAAACTTTATCCACGAGTTTATTTATTTTCACTTTCCAAGAGTGAGAGAAAACGAGTCTAAGCTGCGTGAGAAGATAGTCATCATAGTTTTCTACCGATCGTGGTAAATTTTAGCCAATTAACGCTCTTTGAAGAAAAAGAGAATTCAATTTATGAAAAAGCACAGAATTATCAGAATTTCTTTCGAAGAATCGTCCATCTTTCGATCATTTCCCTAATCAAATTTATTTAGAAGAAATTGCACGACATATTCCTCAAACTTCTTCATCGATAAACTATTCTTTCTCGCAACAATCGATCTCTTTTCGAGAGAGAGAGAAGAAAAAAAAAAGAGAGAAAAAGAATTGAATTCGACGAATTCCATCGTCTTCTTCGCCGAAAGAATTGTTTATCTTTCGATCTTTCGTTTCAATTTACAATTTTAAACCGATACCGATAGTCGAGCGCTTCCGATCATTATATATAACACGATGGGATATCGACCATATTCTTCCTTCGACTTCGGAAGGAAGAAGAAAAGAAGAAGAGAAAAAAATGGAAATACGCTATCGGAATAAGTAACCATTCGAACTATTGAAACCCGACTGGAAACTTGGGGAAAACCGAGTTAGAAAAAGTTATTATTCCGACTGCCGTATTCTTTCTCTACCTTTCTTCCCGCTATTTTTTCTTCTTCTTCTTCTTCTTTTTTCCTTTCTTCTTCCCTCTTTTTTTTTTCTTCTTCTTCTTTTCAGAAAGAATACAGGGAGGGAGAGAAAGAAGTTGTTCTGCATCGATTAGCGATTTCAAATCCCTAGGGGAGAGAACATATACCGCTGACCGACTTCCAAGTTGAAAGCATTGTTACGGATTTAATATAAGTTGGGAAAGAAGTCCGCTCCGGTTGGCTCTGTACTCGAGCTGGTGGTGGAAGGAAATAAGACAAACGAGAACGTCATAGTTTCGAGAAAGGAACAAAATCAAGCGTAACGAGGGAGAAGAGTTTCTTCAAGACTTTATTCGAATATAAGAGGGCGGCAGGTTTGTAATCTCAGCCTTTTATTCATCTGTGCTCTCGCGTGCTGCCTCGCCTTACGCAAACCGTGTTGCGGAGCAACAGTTTTTCCGAACGGCGATACACGTCCCTGAAATCTTGGCTTCTTGATTCTTGATCACTTTTATTTTATTATAAATAATACGCCTTGTTCTCCAGAACGGAGTTTGCCCATTAAACGAACGATTAACGTTGTTGAAATTTTATTCGTAGCTAAGTTTCTGTAATCGAACGACGAACGCAACTTCGCTTTTTCTCCAATTTCTCCACGCATTATTAATCAGCAGACTTTTTAAAATAAACATCCTCTCTTCGAGGACGAACAACAACACGTTATCTCTTTCATTCGACAATTGTTTCGTTTCAAAGATCGCGTCCAAGTTGAGTCGAATCGTTGAGTTCGATAGAAATAATTACGCACGAAATTATGAAGAAAAAAAAAGTATAAAGTTTCGAATGAAATTTGTATTTTTTCACAACGATACTCACCGAGTACGCCGAGACGAAAATTAATAGAAACGACGATAAGGCGACCGTAAGCAGCCAACGCAGTGCCGTCGAAGGAATTTCCAGCGCCCCACGAATATGAATCACCGTGTATCAGAAGAAGGGTTGGCAATAAGTCTGGGGTACTACCTGAAACATCGAAACGTTATCGTTCATCACTACATTTTGCAAAAAAAAAAAGAAAAAAATAAAATTCATTCGCGACACTTTTCCCCGACACGCAAATGATAACAAATATATTCCGAAAATAAAAGCCAAGAGCAGCATTTTGCTCTCGTTTGCTCTCAATTTCTATCACTATTCTTTTTCACTCTCTCTCTCTCTC